ACTGAGCATGACGTCACATGGTATGGAATGTCCCTTTGGCCAGTTTGGCTGTGCCCCCTCCCAGCTTCTTGTGCACCTCCAGCCTTCTCAGTTGGTAGAGCATGGGAAACTAAAAAGTCCTTGGCTAGTGTAAGCATTACCTAGCAACAACTAAAACATGGGTGCGTTATCAACTTTGTTCTCATCCTAAATCCAAACCACAGCACTGTACCAGCTACTAGGAAGGAAATTAACTCTGTCCCTGCCGAAACCAGGACAAAAGTGAAATACTCCACTTTGGATCTAAAACAGACCAAAATCCACTTTCATTTCTCCAAAAAGAAAACAAATTTTCTGTAGGCATCTTTGTTTTGTGAAAAACTTCACGTTTTACAGGATTTACTCTTACAGAGAAACACCGAGTAGTTTACCAATGAAGAAAAAAGTTACTGGTCTCTAGCCTGAGCTCTTCTACGCTCAAATACACTTAAAACTATTTTTAAGGGGAGGGAAAAAAGTAACTTATCCAAAATATTCCATCTCACAGGGAAAGCATAATCACCCAGAACTCTGCTCTCCTGAACCCAGGATCCAGACTGTGCTCGCAAACTGTTTCTATCAGTTAACACTGATAGGAAGCTCTATTTTTCAGTAAGTCTGCACTGCAAATCAACCTCATTGCCTAATATTTACATGGAAAGGCTGTGCCAGTAGTAAAATCTTTGCTGGCATGAAGTAGATGAATTCCATGCAAGTGTTTATGTAGATAATTATGTGAAAACAAGAAAGTGAAAGTCCAAAGCCCTGGGGTATCAACAACAGAATTCTTTCATGAAGAGTTTAATTTATATAGAAATAATTGAATTTATACTGTATTAACACTCACACAACACAGTCCTGGCTAAAGAGCTATCAAACCGCCTTATGGAAACCAAACACTGTGACGCCATGTAGTGTTCTCAGGGCTTACAAAGAAGTCTAACTAATAGGATGGTTCACAGAAGGCAACATTACTAAATCTGTAGTTTGAAAGGAAAATCATCTCTGAAAAGCTGAACATATTCACCACAGAAAATGATGCTTTAAGAAAAGCTCATCATAAATTACATCTGACTGGGGGGGGGGAAAAAAAAATGTATCGCCATGAACAGTACAGTTTGTGAATGACCATGATGCTAAAACTAAGCAGTGCTGAACGTGTAAGCTGAGAAACCAGTATTTCAAACTGATCATCCAAATATCATATCATTTTAAAATACTTATATCAAAGGACCATTTTCATCAGGTTAACGAGCCTGCCTTATACCATCAACTAAGTTTTTAAAGTATTTGAAGGTCTGGAATTATTGGGCATTTAAAGATCATCATATGCTTTAGAAACTAATTTAAATAAAATACTGAACACTCAATTTTAGGAAAGACACTTTATTAACCTAAAGTGTATATGATACCTTGTTTTTAATGAGATATCAGAAATACTGCCAGTTAAGAAAGCAGGACTATAGTTCATGACTGAACTGGCACATCCACATTAAGACCAAATATACTATGGCTTCTGCTAAATAAGTAACCAGCCTACCAGCATTCAGTGAGTTTATCACAACTAAAATACTACGGTTTTGTTAAGATGGGTGTGATGCTAGTGGAAACTGGTTGGTAAACCATCATAGTAACTAAAATAGTGATCATACACATACTTCTGTTTTATGGGTGTGAGCATACAGGAAAGGTAAGGATTCAGAGACACATCTGTATGATTTTTAATACTGCAATATGTTTATTTGGGTGTTTAAACGCATATGACTTCTTGCTGAAGTGTTTCTAAGTTCTGCACCAGATTGAATGGGCTAGCACTGGGATACGCCACCACTGCAGATTCTTCCTGGGGGCTCTCATTTATCCCTCCTCTTCTCCACTCATGGTTTTCAACACACACAGGAATACTACTCATCCTCCCTTCTCTTTCAAAGATTTCTCACCTTTCCCCAGTCCCACAGTGAAAGCCGTGGTTCTCTAACACCCCAATTAGGGGGAAAAATAAAAATAAGAGACTTTTCAAGATTCACTGTAAACAGATGACCTGACCACCCTGCTTTTACAACTGCCACCAGAAACCTTGCTCTTTTAGAGCGAATCCCTCAGAGTACCAGGCATGCCCCTAAAATACAACCAACCATTTTCCTAAGGAACTTCACAAATAAGATGATGTCACTGTCACTCTTTGTCACAGGGCTCATCTCACAGCAGTCCAGGATAATGGGGACAGGGATTAGCAGGCTAAATAACGTGGATACTACAATTTGCTTTCATAAACACTGGACTTCGAAAAACTCATTAAAAAAACGTATTATTAAATTATTTCTTAAACAGCAGAGCAGAGAAGCAGGCCAAACATGAACAGCATAAACCCTGCAGCACTGTGCAGAAACAGGAGAGACTGGCAGAGAGGAGGAGGTTGTTAGTCTACGAGCCAAGTAATTAACTGTGCATTTGAACGGTAGTTTGCAGGCGTACAAAGATGAATGAAAATGCCCAACCGGAAACTAGTGAGAAAAAAACAACGTGGCACCCAATGCAGTGTGTTTATGTCTTCACCTATAAAGAGGCACTCAGACAACTGTGCTGTATTCTTCTGAAGGCGATTCTTAACTACCCTTTATGTCCTCAGTAAATAAAGGCTTTCATCAACTGATCTGTAAACTTTAAATGTTCTATCTTTAGTAAGAGTTCTTAGTATTAGATCAATAGCTTGGAAAAAACATTTTACAAGTGCAAGTTTGTCAGTGTGGTGACAATTTGAATGTCAACTTCCTAAAGATTTTAAAAGGGGAACTGAAAAACAGATACTACTTCATCCCTTTTAGAGAGCATAAAAAGTAAGTATAATCAAATATAAACCAGTACTGTTTTTTTCCCATATGGAATAGTACATAATGTAGACATTCTGCTTTGTAGAAGTTCTTCTGCACATCTGGCTTTGCTGTTGTGTTAAAATTACCTAGCAATCTAGGTAATTTGAGTATGTTCCTCTGAATAAAAAGTATTTCTGAGGCCACTGATTTACTACTTGATACCAACTTTCAAATCCATAGTGTTCCAAGCCCTCTTCAAATAACAAACAAGAACTAGAACAGCAAGAACTCTACCTTGCATTTTGCTTTTGGAAGGAGAAAAAGTCTTTATTGTAAAAGAAGTAGATTCACCCCATTATGAACGGCTATCTGTGCTACCACTGTGCCAAGGAGCTGTATTCACAGGCCCAGAGCACTTAGCCATGTCACCACCCCAAATGATTGATAATCAAAGTATCAGAGGGGAAGCAGAAATGTCACCTGTGAAGACAAGCTTGGTCTAATGAACTTCAGGTTTACTCTCTGCCTTCAAGTTCACACCAGTGAATTGCTTTCTCAAAGGTGTAAGTTTATATAAAATAGATTGTTATAAGTAATGTAACAAACTTTTAAACCAATATTCAAACCTTTAAAATAGTAAAGAAAAGTGACACAGGACCAGATGATAATTTTCAAAGAAAACACTATGTTCATTAAGATAAATAAGTAGCCCACAGCATTTAGGAAATGCTGATTTGCCATCTTAGGGACAGGCACGTTAAACAGTTTGTGTATCATTTCCCATTAATACTTTATATTATATAGCTTTGTTATTTTGTCATATAAAAATTAAGTCAACCTTTTTGCAAAGACGGGATTTTTCATTATATTTACGTTGTCAGGGAAGCAGAAAAAAAGGTGCTCTGTCCCCACAGCAAGGGCAGCTAAGGGGAGGGAAGGTGTAGAGATGCCCCTGTTAAGCAAAGCTAACACCAAATGATTTGAGGTCAATTAGTTGAACTGTTTGGGTAAGGAAGGCCCCAGGCTTCAGGACAGAACCTGACTTCAGAAGCATTTCCTTAAGTAATCCTGAACAGATCTATTTTCTGCATCTTTAAACTTCCACAGATGAGGTATTTAGCCATTTCTTTTAAAAACAACTATGAAGAAACTTTGCAGATACTAGTCTGTATTTTACACAAACTGAAAAGAACTTTAAAAGAGTCTAAGTTTGTGATTTTACCAAAAAAGGAAGTACTACTATATAAATATTAACTTAGGAATTTTCATTTTAATTTAATTTCCTTTTTAATGTATTTATTTTAATGACATTTCTATGTACAAAAAAGTACTTGCATACCTTAAAAAACCCTTTTTAATTCAAATTGACCAAGTCAGAAACAATACATAGGTAAGCTAAGAGACACTGCTGTAACAGACTTCAAACCAAAGTGTGATAAAGGATAGGTGTAGGCTAGGTGAGTACAGGAAATGTTATTTAAATGGCATTTTCTTCCTTTTAAGACATAAACATCCCTACAACAGATCTTCAGACCTCATTGCTGAGGGACAAAATTTCTAAATATCTAAATAGATGCCATTTTCCAGTATTACATTCTATACATCCACCAATAACTAGGAAAAGGCTCACGTATTTGAGAAAGCAGAAAAAAACCCCAGCAAACCAGCACTGTCATGTCTGTGGAAACTGTAAACGTGTCTGTTTACAGTGATGGTTCATCACCTTGGTATAGAGGAGTTTTATGCAAAAGGAGGTTCACATAACTTGGTTTCCCTTTTAATTTATGAAAGTGTAACAGAAATAATTTTTTTCTTTTCTCCTTGCCGTCATTAAAGACTCATTTTCCAAAATAACATCATCTTCCCATTGTTCTGTGAAGCTGAATATGCTATTTTTGATCCTGTTTTCCCAATGGCTAGATTTTTTAATTCAATATTAAAGTTTAAGAAAAAAATCCTCAAGTTCTGATTTCTATGAAAAGTATCATAGAAGGCAAAAACATGTTAAAACAAATTACTTTTTAATGACCTCGTGTTCTTGTCTTTATAGGCTTTCATATCGGACTGGTCAAGACACGGCTAATTGCGACACATGCAGGAACAGTGCATGTATTATCTATAGGTAGGTTAAAAATACTAATATTCCCACTTTTTCCTAGGTGAAAGTAATGATTTATTAACTAATGCAAGATCAATCATCAGCCCTGATTTTTCAATAACACGAGAACAGTTTAAAAACAGAAAATAAATTTAACATCACTAAATTAATTAAATTCAACAGACACCTGTTTCCAAGCCTAAAATTTTCAGTTCAAAAATAGATGATTATGGTCAGTACTAGTTCTGTAGCTTTTGGATGTGAAGTGTAACAAGGTGTGAACTTCATTTTCACATAGCTAGAAATATTGAGCATTTTCTGTCCAAAAAGTCAACATACTTCAAATTTCTATAGCGGTAACAACTGGACGCAGAAAGTGGTTTTGACAGAGAGACTTTATAGCAAAGAGAACCAGATTCAGTCTAGACAGTTATATCAGTAAAATGACACTGCTACCCAAGTTTTTACGTACTTTTACATTAGTGAAGAAGTTTTAAAACATGCATGGCAAATACGTCCTTGCCCAACACGAACAGCACCACTAACTTATTTAAATCAGACATTTGCAGTCTTCGTGCAACACACAAGTGAAGGCTTGCTGTACGTGTACAAAAAGCTCCTTTAGCAGACCTGCTGTGAAGGTATGCAGTTCTGTAAGGTGAATACAGGTTTGCTCTTTACTGTCCAACAGATAAAAAATTACGAACTGCTTAAAGGCTTTGTTAAAGATTGTCTATACTTGCTACAATCTCTCCTTCAGAAGGAAATGCTGCTTTGGAAGTTCACTCACTAGAAACAGATCAGGTGCAAAAGGTGAAAGGATACCACTTCTTATTTCTCTAAAGCAGAGGTTCCCCTCCTAAAGTTTATCAGCTGAGACACCCACTTTGGCATGTACCATATTATAGTGAAGGAATAACAGATAGACAGTGGGCATGACATGAAGCCATCATGAGTGATGATGCGTTTCATACTAACAACTTAATTGTCCTCCTCCATTAGAGTCTTAAAAAAAAGAGTATTTTCATGCATTGCAGGTAAGATGAAAACAAATGCATCTCACTAGAGTATTTCAGAAAATCAGGCAATGTAGTACAGATGAAAATGTATAAAGATGACTATTAAGTACAGTAAAGCTACAAACTAAATTTAAGGTAGAAATGTTGGCAGGGTCTGAAAAGCGTAGGATTTCCCCCCTCCACCCCTTAATTCTCTACTTGGTCTCTGATTTAGGCAGAAGACCTGGAGCTATTTATACATTATCTCCTAGCTGCCTAGAAGTGAAAGAAAAAAGGATGGAAAACTTTAACTCCGTCTTTCCTACTTAGCAGCTAACTAGAAAAGGGAACAATGCTGTTCCATGCAGGGGAAGGAACCAATTAATTTATCCTTCCTTTAGAGCAATGTTTAGAAGCACATAAAGCCTACCCTACCTCCCTTTTTCTGAGCTCACCCCTGTGCCATTTCTTGCTCAGGGCAACCTGGGAAGGTACAACATAGCACATTTCTGTCAGGGAAACTATTTTTATTTCTTAGCTAAAAAAATCCAATTGGAAATTTTTAAAAGTCTTGATTTCTAGTCAGCAGATTTAAAGTTAAGGAACCTTCCAGTTTCTACCTCTTGACTCTCACTGCAAATGAAATGAGTCCAGAAACGCAGATTTCAAGTGTTTCCCTACCAATAGACTAACAGTGCAGCAAGCAGGTCTAGCTCTTCAGTTATTTCCCACCAGAATAGCCATTTGGACTGAAGCTATCAATGCTGGGCATTCGCCTAAAGCAATGTTTCCAGGGGAAGTTTTAACCAAAAGCAGCTCAGCTTTTTGACAGACTAGGAGAATACAAGCTGCAGGCAAGAAGTCTAAAACCAGAAGACAGTGCAAAACAGGGGAACTATGAGAAGACTGAATTACTAAGACAAGATAAATAGCCAGAAGGGATAAAGGAGAAATTCACTGATAAAACTACCACTAAGACAGGCTGCCTTGTAGGAGCTTCTGCTCCTGTTGTACTGAAACAAACCTCTGAAAGAAGTGCAGCATTTCATTAGTAAGGATGCTAAAGTTACTCTTAAATCTAGATGCAGTGATACACACCGCACCTTTGCAAAGGGTTTGCATGACAAGTGCTGCATAGAGTTATGTGATTTCTCTTTAAGACAAAACACCTTTTAGGAACAGAAAATAAAACTCAGATTAAACCATTCAAGAGGCACTGAAAACCTGGGTATCTTTGAGGACACTGGACCCTGCAAGCTGTCAGTAAATGTCAAGTGTCAGACCAGGAGGATCGTCCTGGCTGACCTACTGCATGTTCCACAGGCTGCTTTTACAACATGCTCCTATTTTGGACCCTCCTCTGTCTTGAGCTCTTCCACACAAGCAGTAGATAGGGGAGACCCAAGAAAAATATAACCAGTGCCCTTATGGGACAAATCAGTAATTTCAAGAGGAAACCTTAACTTTTCCATAATTGACTTTTTTTTTTTTTAAATATGATTCAATTTTGAACACAGTAACATTAAAAAATATCCACAGCTCTTTCAACCTTTATTTTTAAACTGCAGTGAAACAGCATCTTAGAGGAACGATTAAGTTGCCCTACTGACTACCCAACTGCATCCTATCATGTCAAGTAGAGCACAGATGAGACGCTAGAATGCAGAAACAATCAATGTAATTAAATTCTTCCCCCTCAAGATTACTTTTTAGAATATTAATACAATCTAGCACAAAAGCTAGAGTCAATGTGGAAGACAAAAAAAGGGGGGTTTGCTGCTATTTAGTATAAAAAATGCCAATACTGTTAATAAACATTCTAAGAATAGGTTTTTGAGAATACAGTTATTTTGCATATGAAATTTACAATTTTTTACTAAGATTCCAAATCTATTTTCATCTTATTTTGACTTTATATAGAAAAGAATACATACTTCTTAGTATTAAAGAAAAAAGGAAAACCAGGTTACTTTTTCATTTTTTTAATAAATTTGAAACTGATCAAACATTAAAAACTATTAAAAAGACAAGGTACCAAAAACTTAAACTGCTCTAGAAATCAATAGGAAAAGAAACACATCTAAATTTGATTCCCCATTTCCCTCAAGATTCTACTTATTTCTGCTATGAGAAATACGTTCAAGAACTTGACAGAAATTCCAGACACAGGAGTCACAGACACCTTCTTCCATTGCAGGAGATGAGCCACATTAACTGCATCCCCCTACTGCAGCACACATCAATTCACTGCTTCCACTGCCAATTAAATACTCATTTAGCCGCTACTCTGAAGAGGGGGAAAGACTTGAGTCATTATGCCGAAGGCTTCACCAGGAGGAACAGGATCAGTTGTGCTGCGTCTTAAGGAGCTCTAGGCTTAAACACAGCAGAAAAACTTTACTGGGCAACACTATCACTGTAGGTTTTAAAGCCTGAGTATTAAGTCCCAATTCCATAGCAGTAGTCTAAAACAGTCAGTAAAAAGTATTCAGCATCGTGTCTTTATAGTAATTTCTAGGCAGTATTTAAAGTAGTAGTAAAACAATGTGATTAAGTAGTAAAAATAAACAACCATTTTATCAAATGTTAATCTGTGTCAAGTGTTAATCTATTCCATTAGCATCAGTATCTCATAAACCGAGGTCACAAAGCAGTTTCAAAAGCATCTTCTACAAACTAAAAGACAAATTTACAAACAAAGACAAACTTTTACATCTGTCTTTTACAAACTAATGTAGATTCACCATTGAAAATTTTAAGGATAGAAAATAAGTTTTATTAGGGTACGTTGTCTGGACAAAGTCAACTTAAATACTGAGGTCTAGCAAAATCTTTCTATTAAGAAGAAATTGCATTGATATGCAGAAACTGTACCAATTCTGTAACACCCGAAACCCACGTGGACTAGATCTTCACAGCCTGTTCTATTCTGTGATTATCTTTTAGTGGAACTGCCCTTTCTGCTCCTTTTTAAATTATCATCCCATGTTGTTGTGGTTTAACCTCAGTCAGCAACTGAGCACCACACAGCTGCTCGCTCACT